ATATATATATATATAAACCGCTTTTAGGCAAAAACGTGCATTATAAAACGCGGACTAAGCACTTACAAGTCCTTAGATAAGGAATTAAGCATCCCATATGCACATAATATTTAAAACTGAATATCCTCATGTGTCACCTCGAACTTTCCTATATATTCGTTGGCCATCGCACAATAATAAACGAACAATGCAAGGCGGTTCCATTACTTCCGCGATAGTCTCACCTTCCATCAGATGTGGAGCAGAACATGGCCATTAATCAGGCTACTCAAGTATCCATCTTCACACTATGATATGGTGGCAGGGTGAGCAGAAACATTCGCACTTGTACTGCCTTGTTCTGGTATCTTGATCCATTGAAGGTCTGGAATTCTCAATATTAATAATCCGGCGACCTGAATAACCACAGTACTGACGAGCTTTATAACAAGGGAACACAGATCCGCAGCTTAGCCTAGCACACTTGGAATAAGTTGATAGTGCGATTCGGTTTGCAAAATTTTCCTCGGTCTAAAAAAACAGGTTAACTGTAAAAAAATGGGAGATTTAAAGAATAATCGTGAAATTTTAGTGGCCTTAAACACATTACCACTCATCAGGGCTGCCTTATTAAGTCAATGGATACTGGCTGCCGGAGTGTGCCTGAACTTTGGTGGATTAAATACTCATCCCGTTTCTTAAGTATGGGGCACACTGAATGACCTAACTGGTGAATCTAACGGTGAAAATACCAGTTACATATATGGTAATGCGAACGTCGCATGTAATACAGGAACTGTGAGACGTATTTTCAACAGGTAAGTCAATCGAGCGAACATACGACAGCGCACAAGCTTTGGATCACTCGCGGAATATGCGGTCGTCTGGTTATTCATTCACGCAGCTCAAAACAATGAATATTTACCGACAAGAAGTAGCGAAGGGAAATTACGTGACTGACATGGATTTTCGGTACCATTGGAAGTTTCACGAACGTTGGATGACCACATCCGGATTGGTTTTTACATTGGGAAATGTCACTTTGGCATTCCGGCAATCTCATTTCATTTAAAACGACCAACTCTTAAGTGCTGTGACAAGTTGTCACTTTTATGGTTTTATGGATGAATCAGCCAGAATAGCGTACCATTCTCACACGTTAGTGAGCTACTTACCCCATGCCGTGTCCCATCGAGAAGTAGCGTAGCGTATCTTTGCATATCCGAAATCGGTGTTGGCTCCGAGGTATTGCTTACTGTCTCAGCCTGAAAAACTATACCAAAATGTCGTCGGCATATGCATCAAGCGATGGAAAAATAAGTAAAAATGTCAGGATTGCGGATTTAAGCAGGAAGCTACCAAATCTCCTCAATGATATCCTGCTAAAAAAATCTCGATAACGCACGATTCTCCAGTGATCGTTCTTTAAATGGAGTAAAAATGCCTATTATGGAGTTGACTAAGGACAAGAAGGCTCCCGAGGAAAATGGTTTGTATTATTCATACCTGCAAACATGACTCATAAATTGCCTTCGGAGAGTTGGACTAGTATCTGATTCATACTCGCGTGCCCGCTCAAATAAACAATCGAGGTACATTATGGGTTTTTATGATGTTTTGCAAAAAAGTCTCATTGAGCTCAATTCAACCTATAGACCATATTGAACTCCATTCAGCGTAATAGTTCATCAGATAACGTGCAATAAAGGAGAAGGGTGATTAAAGTGAGATAACTAGAAGATCAGCATATCTACTGATAACAAAGAAAATATCAACAAGCTTGAATAAGTGCGACTACAAAATATCCCTTCCACTAGACAAGTCATTGTAGGAATTTCCGAATAACACCAGCAGGTTCAAGTTTTAGTACAAGCGACTAAAGCGTATGCTTAGTTTTTTTTCCATATGGACTGTGGTTTTTCTTTTAGTCGCGGTGGCGGTCGCGGTCGCGTTGAATCAACCTACCGTCGTGGAAAAGCATCGACAGGAGTTCAACACATGAGCGGATAGAAGTCTTCTCGGTTTTTGAAAATCGCTTGTTTATAATGTTGTCATCGATAACGTTTTGTTGAACTCTGTTGAGGGAATGGCTTAGCAGCTTAGCTTACCCATAAGGGAAGAAACTTTTGCTATCAGCCAGCCGTCAGGAAGAGACTGGACCTTACCGTGGTGTGACGGTTTGCGCACCTCAGCGATCCATTGAGCTATACTGGAGAG